GAAACAATACCTGCTTACCTTGGCAAGCTGCTGGCTTATCAAATTAGTTTACTTACCAGGACTCTTTTTTGCTGTGTCCACCAATCCTAAACCATTTCATTAGGTCTGCCAAATGCAATCAATTCCTTGCAATCAGGTCTTGATAGACTTATCTTTAGAGCATAGATTCTTAAGTTCTACAAACATCTTTTGTTTTCTAGTTCTGAGACACATATCAAGGTGGCTTTCTTACTGCAGTATGCTTTAGTAGCCTTGATTTATTAATATCATGAACCTGCATTTTTAAGAAGTTAAGATTAACCTGCACTGTTTTTAATGGCTACATCATATTCTATTACATAACATGTAATTTATCCATTCCTCCATTAATGGTCATTTAGATTGCTTTTATCATTTTTGCTATTATAAGCATTGCTGCAATGAATACCTTAAATGTCTTTTTTTATACATTTGTGCTGAAATTTCTGTAAAATACAGAATTAACACAGAAGTGTAGGATTGCTAGGTCAGACAGTATGTGCATTTTAAAGTTTGACAGATCCGCTGGGTTACCCACCAACTTAGCTGTACTAATTTACAGTCTTAGCAAAGGCTTGAGGCTAATGATTTACCTACATTTATACTAATAATTGTAGGAATCCTTTTCACCTTTATCCACTAGGTTAAAAAAAAACTTATTTTAATTTGTATTTTACCATGTTTTAGACAGTGAAATAACCAGTTTTCCACAAAAACATAATTAACTAAAGTTCTACAAAATATATAAATTATTTTTGGAAAACTTTTCCTTTAACTTAAAACTATAATACAGATAGGATGGCTGAAATTCAAATATATGTTCATTATTCAGTATTTACTTAACATTTCCTTTTACTAAGTGTTACCTAAGTAAGAGTCATAAAACCTGTGTTCAAGGCCTACCTTTGCCACCCAGAAGCTATGTGACCTTGGACAAGTCGCCTGCCCTCTTGAGAGCTTCCGTTTTCTCTTTGGCAAAATAAGGATTAAATGAGATTATAATTTGAATGGCAAATATTAGCTATTACTACTACAATAACAATGCAAGGGAAATTACTAAATCACTAGAATTATTTATAAACTTCATTCTTAATAGGTTTAAAATATTGGTATTGTGATAGTCAGATCTATTAGGTGAGTCAATGGTTTCTCCGGACTACTGAAACCACCAGAAAAGTGCATATTTCATAGGGCTAACATACTGCTTACTAAATCACTGCTTAAGTTCTCTATAAGTACTCCCCAAATAGTAGTTTAGAAAATGTTACTTAGTTCTTACATGAAGTGGATTTATTCAAGTATGTAATCAACTACACATCAGATTATTTTTACAAGTCTCTAAGAGGGTTTTGTTTCTAAGCACACAGTGTATAACATGATTCAAGTAACACTATAAAGATTTCTTAGAGCCAAAAAAATAAAATTCTAAAACTTTGCTGAACTACACATTGGAGATCTTATCTTTGATTCTTTTCTGAAACTAATAGCAATCTAAGCTCCCCGTTCATTATATGTCTCAATAACCACCCATGCACAAAATCCTGTTAGAGACTAGGGGTATTAACCTCTGAAATCAAGAGATAAAGTCTCATATTAAAGTTAAAAAGCATTGTTACCTAAACTTGCCTGTGATTTTGGTATAATAATCAGCTAATGGTGTACTACCCAGAGAGCTCATCTTCTTCTATTAGATGTTCACTAATGGATCTGTCACACTTCTCATCTTTAGGCCATGTAAAACATAAAGCCAGGATGAGAAGCCATTGTCCTACGGCTTATTTCCAAAAGCTCTCAATAGCTCAACTCACCTAAGTCTTCCTCCTTTCTTCCTCCATATCATGACTTTTGAAAATTTTTATGAAGAATTTTTAATGAGTAAAATGATCTGGAAAAAACATTTTTTCAGTTTTTATTTCAATAAAACAAAAGGCAACACTGCTGTATAAAGTATTGCATGTGGAGAACATTTACACAAATATACAAAACTTCAAAAAACTAAACTCCAGTTTATTTCCACAGCCTTAAAAATGTAGAGAGCACATAAAAATATCCAAAGTCATAGTTTGTTCTTTAGGAATGTAAACTCTAGGAATACAATTAGAATTAAGCATATTTACTATGATTAGTATCTCTACATAACTAGAAGATAAGAGGTACACAATAAACTACACATGAAAAAGGAACAGTATGTGAAATGGCATCTGTGTGCACTAGTAGAAACTTAACAAGACGGGTACTCTAGAATTTTACTATTGAAAAAAAAAAAGTTTCCAAAAGGTTCACTGCTAGTCTCACCAGACATGCACAAGTTACAAAACACAGAATACAACATACTTATGCTCATTTATGAGGAATTTAACAATATTAAACACTAATGTGACTAAAAGTGTTTAGTATACTTTTACAAAGAAACAAATCTAAAAGTTCAAATTCATGCTAATTAAAGAACTAGAGTTCTGGAAAGATACTATGATATCTACAGTGTTTAATTTTTCTACTCATCAAATCATCCTTCCTTTAAATGTTTTTTTTTTAAAATAACTTTTCAGCAACATTATTTAACACATGTATTTCCTTGATGTGCTTCCCTTTAATGAAGTGTAGATTTATTGTGCCTAAAGATTCACATTAAGGAGTCTTGTGTTTGTTTAAAGTTATGAGTCAGGACACATTTTTCTCTATAATTTAAGCTTTCACACATTAATTTTGATGCTCCAAAATAGTCAAACTCCCTTAAAACTGGGATCATTTTTATTTATTTTGGTTTAAAATACACTTTCCTTCAGTTTTTGTTTTTAAATGAATAATGTTCATTGAGTAGTTGCTTGATTATTGAAATAAGCAATGAAAATTTCAGATCAATTTTATCATCATTTAAGAACTGAGAATTTCTACTCTTCTTTCTAGAGCTGACTTACAGTTCCAAAATGGTGTACAGGTGATTTCAGGCTGCTACTTGCCCAATCTACTTTGTTTCTCACTTGGAATTTAAAAGGCATATCCTGAGCTCTTGCTTCACTAGAAAATTCCAGGTAGTTGGTACTTCAGAAGTGAGAAGTTGGGTAATTACAAGAAGCATAGAGGTTTAAAATACAGAATGGATCTGCTCAGATCCTCTGGGCCATCGAGTGGAAGGCCCACAATTGGTACAGAGTCATTCTTGTGATAAAAGCTATTATTCTAGATATACAAAATGTCAGTGACCAAATGGTCAATTCAACATTTTCATGGGACTATGACTTACAAAAGCCATTCTAACTTTCAAATTTAGAAAGTCAAGTAGGAAGAGAGTAACAGGGATAACTATAATTGTTAACATAGCATAATCTAATATTTACAGTTGTTATAAATTTGTTTTGAAATGTATAACCCTTACTTGAAATAGTATCAAATGTAGTACAAAAAGAATTTTACTGCTATCATAACTCCACACTGCAGAAAATTAACTGGTGCTTATTACTTGGAGCAAAAGTTCAGAACCACTCCACCGGTTCTGAATAAGCCTTCAGATTTTTTATAAATATACACATGTAGATTTTTTGGTGCATTCTATAAGAGGGCAATAACCTTTTTATACTTAAAATTGTAGGTATTTACTGCCCTGATTCCATTTTTCATTATAAGAGAAATACAAAATGTTACATCTTCATTGTAAAAGTAGATGAGAATTGTTAAAAATTTTAAATTAGAGGACTTACTAAACCAAATGTCAATGTTATTAAAAACATTAATTACCTGCTAAAAACAATGATCTAGTTATCTAATAGATCTTGGGTTGTGAGATCATTGAGAATTCTAAATATGAGATAAGTCATTTGCTTAGCATTTTGATACTCTTCTAAAACTTCAATGTATAAAAATCACTTTACAATCTTGTAAAAATGCAGAGTCTATTTCACGGACCATAATCCTCAATTTAAAAAAAAAAAAAACAGTCTAATTCAGTTGCTCCAGGCTGCTCTGTAATTTTAACAAGATGCCAAATGATGCCAATGTTACTTGCTGGTTCCTCAGACCACATAAATAGCAAAGATCTAGAGCAATACCAAAATGAGTTTCCATAATAGTGGTTGAATATTAAAATGTGATCTTTCTTTTATTCCAGATAAAGTTTCCCCAAAATTATTCTACAGTATTTCTTAATCACCTTAATTTGCTTAAAATGACAGGCTTTTAAATTAATTCTTAAGACTATTAATGCTGTGAGACGCTGTGGAGAAATTCTTCACTAAAGAATTACAAAAGGATCACATGAAATTCACAGTGACATTTTGCAAATATTTAAACTGTACACCGCATTCCTATTAAGTAAAAATGTCAATTTTCACTTTCTGCTTGCCTTATTTCAGATTTGTTTTTTATTAAATTATACTAGTTAATTTTATTATATTTGTATTACTGAAACCAATCAAATTCATATATGTTAAAAAATATATTCTGGGCTTATGAATGAAAACAGTTCAGGCTTTTTGGAATATCTAATTTAAAAGAGAGTCAAAGCAGTTTTGGTGAAAACTGTACTCATAGTTTAAATGTTTTGGCACTCTTCAAGACATACAATTTTTCATGTACTTGACCGCTGCATAACCTATACAAGAGGAAATTAGCATGTTCTATGTGGCCACAGCTACCAACTAGAAATAAGAAAAACAATGTGTATAAATAGTAAAAGAGAGCAGGGAGACAGCTCCCTACGCCTTCCTCCCCATCATCTTCCTCTCTTCCTCAGCCCTTCTTTCTCCCTTGTACAATGTATTATTACTTAAGTATACCTGATTTACCAGAAACCTCTCATGGCTGAAATGACCACCAGTAACAAACACCAAACTCTTCACATCTATCAAGGTCACAGTTCCCTATATCTACATGTTTTTTAGCCAGTCTGACTTTTTTTATATTTATTTTTTGGGTAGAGACAACTACATCGATTCTTATTTCTTTCTTTCTTTCTTTTTTGATTCTTATTTCTATTGATGATTTCTTTTAAAATAGACATATTTACAAAGCAAGAAACCCATTCATTCTTTTCATATTTTATAATTTTAAGAACATGAACATAAATAACTAAAAGTAGTTAATATATAAAAGCCCTTTGTCTTTATATCATGTCTTTATTTTCTTTCATGACATTTTAAAGATGAAAAATTTACCTAATTTCCTTCATTTGCAGACAAACAACTCAATAGTACATCGCTGATTCTGGTATCTTGAGAGTTAATGTTGCAAGATTTACAGTGATTTTCAGGGAGTCTTCAATGATGTGTGCTCTGAATTGTAGGAATCCATATTAACTAGGATTTCTGAAGACCAGCAGCAGAGTAAGTCAACTGGATGGCCAATTACATCTTAGGAAGTTAAAGAATTTTTACTTGCTAAATCCAGATCAAATACTTTGAAACAACATACTTACTTGCAGTTTGATTTTTGATATAAAAAAGTTTACATCCTCTACCCATCTCCTGAAATCATCTAGTAGTCTGACTACTGAGTTAACAGGTATTTTCCAGCACTTTATATATACTGTTTTAACCTTAAAGATGATCTGGCTACATTATTAGTAGGCACTTTTCATACACATCATATTTGCTTTTTCATAAGCCTATTTTTCAGACTGACTTTCTGAGCAGCCAGCTTAGAATTCCTGGAATTGTACCTCTGCCTCGTTCTTTAAGAAACAGTGCCTGTTCATAGAGATTCCCTTTTATTCTGTAGGGCAAACCCACAGCTACCAAAATAGGAGTTGTTTAAAAAAAAAATAAAATAAAAAAGACACCTCACAACCTCACATGAGATGTGACAAGTCTGATCAGACAACCTGCCAAAATGTATTTTCATTCTGGTATTATTAGGGCAATAGCAACAAATAAGAAAAAAGACTCAAATCCTCAAATCAAGAGAGAAAAAACCACCACAAAATAACATGTCAACTAACTGCAACCTAGAAATCATTCCTTTCAAAAAGTCAAGATAGGCTTCAGAATTTAAGAAACAGGGCTCCCGTCAGGAACAGGAATGCAAGACCCTGCACACTTTCATAAAGAAGCAAATTCGTATACCCAGCTTCACCAGTTAAATGAGAGAACTGTTACAAATCAATCTGTGGACAAGGTAATGCTAATACTAGGAGGTCTCTGCTGACCTGATTGATGCTTCATTGGAAGTTCAGTTCTTTCAGAAACATAAATAAGCTTTTCTTCTTGGAGACTACAAGCGGAAAACCTATTGGCATCTATCCCAGTCCCACAGCCAACAGCAGGTGACGGGTTATGTGGGACAGTGACACCACTGACTTGTTCAAAGGACTTGCTAAATACAGTTGCAGCGGTCTTAGCCAAACCATGGCTACTAGGCTTAGGGAGGGATTGGCTGGTTGTTAATGTAAGTCTCTTCAAAGAGAGGAGCTCAAGATTCTCACTTTGGGCTCTTTGGGTTTGTTTTCGAGCAAAGTGATCTTTGCAAAATTCCCCTGTAGTTTCTTTTTCTTTTCCTCCAATTTTGCTTCCTCCTGAACGTCTCTGAGTCTTTCCTACATTTGTCTTGTTACTAGAATTGTGACTACTGTTTGATAAACCAGACTGGCTGGTACTAGACGCAGCCCTGGAATAAAATCCCTCGTCAACTTCAGATATCTCCATCAGTTCTTCTTGACCTGTTAATTCTGCATTTCCTAAACAAAAAAATAACAAAGATGAATTAACATTTTTAAAGCAATTTTTAGTGATTAATACCAAGTCATTTATTCTATAAGCAAATAAAAATTTAGCATAATTACATAAAGCAACAGATTACAGACCAAAATCAAAGGATAAATCAAATCATTCTAAAATGCAAAAATAGTTCACTGTAATTAAACAGCATTAATTTTGAGTAAATTAAACAAAAAGCATGCCAACCACATCCCACTATGTTTTTAGAAAGAGATCTCTTACTATTCATGCAAAAGATCAGAAACAATTAGGAAAAGTACTACACAGTAAGACTAAAGATAAACTCTCCTCTGGTATAGCAAGCCAGTACAAAATCAAAACTCCTGCCAAAGAACTTTAAAAAGAAAATTGTCACTAAATTACTTTAAGCGTTTTTTGAAATTTGCATTTTACATTGCAGATTATTCTACTAAAATAAAAAATAGACTGTAAGTTCAAACTTATTTATTCTACATACATTAACCTTCATATCAAAGAAGACAAAAGTACAGAAATGAAAAAAGTTGATTTCAACACATAAGCAGAAATTATTTTGAAAGTAATTTTCTGCCTCAGTTTTCATAACAATTTACTCAAAGACATTATAAGTATGACCATTCCAAAGAGCATTAAGAATCATTGAGAAATTTTGGTGCATAATTCATGCATTTTGATTATTAGATAACATGCAAAATTTTTGTGACTGTGCAACTGTTGCTTAAAACATGCAGCAGTGGCCCTTTGCCAGGAGATACCTTGGAGTGCGACTATATAGTGCTCTGCTAAAACTGCACTCTGCCAGGTGAGTTTATTCCATCCTCCATCATTTTTCTTACAGATTTTTGCCTCCTGATCTCTGGCAAGACTTTGCTCTCAGTTCTAGGCTCTGTGGCTGCTTCCTGCACACCCTGAATATGCTGAGCATCAAAATCGCCTAGTGTTCTGCCTTTTTCCCCATTCCCGGTTCTTTCTCCGGCCACATTTGTGACACTAATCTCAGGAATGACAAGGATGCCCAATTCAGTAGTATCATTATTGTTGTCAGGTTGCTCTAGAATTGAAGATGATAAGACAAAATGATGGCTGAAAACAAAACAAAATAAAAATGCAAAACAAGAAAAACAAAAGACCCAAAACAAAAATTGGATGACTAGATGTTATGAATTAAGCCAAATATTTGCACTGTAGAAATTTCCGAAATTTACAATACTCTTCAGACAATAGGTTCATATTTTAATTTTAAATGACAATGAAAACTCACAGAACATCAATTCATGCTCTGCATTTCTTCACATACATTTTTTGACATGGACTATGAAACAGAAATTTTTACAAAACAAAATAAAATCTATTATTTTTAAGATAAGACTGTGACTCTCTGAACTTAAGTCAAGTCTTAGTCAAATGTCCAAGGAACTCTAGCTCTTAGCAACATGTGGAACCAAGTCACTTGAAAATTCTCCTTGATACACCTTAAATTCCATTTTTTTAAATTAGATTACACTAAGACTGATTTAATAAGCTATGATACTGGAAAAAATGCTTATTCATCTATGATATCCTGGTTAGTAATATTATAGGTAATGCGTTTGTCTCATACATCAATTGTCTTGTATATTAGTAAATATAGCTGTGATATAACTAAGCAATCTATTTTTTCAGATTCATACTTATTCCACAAGTATAAACTGGCTTGTAACAGTTCATTACCACACCAGAGCAAAATAGGTTTGGAAAACAAGTTGGCTGTTGGTTCCTAATTCTGAAAATTTGATTGTAAAAGAAATAAAGGAATTAAATTCCTAGGTAGTGAAAATTTGATTCTGACTTAAACCACGGAGCATGGCTTACTTAAAACTGTCAAGAAAATATCTGTAATGGGAAAAATAACATGAATATATTATGAATCAGTAATGAAACTTAAACAGCTCAAAACGACAAAAGACTCAAAAACAGTACATACTCAAAATATGTAGACCATATAATTACAAATTTTTTCATGATAGGATTATCTGATTTTCCCTAATAATTCTAAAAACTGTGAAACAATAACAGGTAGTAAAGGATTGGAAGCTATGGGCCCTCCCTGGTGGCACAGCCGGTTAAAGCACAGCACTGTAAACTAGCCATAGCTGCTTAAGTGTTAGTTAGATCTCTGGCCCTAGAGGTGACCCACATGGCACAGCAGAACTCTCCTGACCTGCCCGCTGTTTCCCTCAGCAGTGTACTTCTTCAATCTGCCTGTTCTGCTCCCCACTATCTCTGGTGAATCCTCTCAACACCCCTGCACCTCTGGCCTGTACTTCAGTTCTGTATGCATAAATAAACAAAGTAAAAAAAAAAAAAGATTGGAGATTAGAGCCTCAAATATTCCTATGAATCCCAAACTTTGCAACACTTGGTATCAGCTGGGTTTCTTTCAGACCTACTGATGAGTGACTCTAACCCTAGGCATTCTGACTTAGTTAGTATGAGGTCTGATTTGGGCATTGAAATTTTTTCTAATGTGCAGCAAATATGGAAATCACTACTTTATTCTATTTATTTCAGATTTTGAAAATTAGGAACAAAAGTTATTATAGATGCCTTAGCTACTCCATACCCTGCAGAAATATATATTCTTGGAGATCCTCAAAGCCATGTGTTGCCCTGGGCCAGTGGACCAATGTGTTTGTATATAAATTTCCCATATACTTAGTGTTTCATAAAATTTTGACTGAAAGCTCTCTAAATGAAACTGTTCTTTCCTAGCTAGTAAAAGGCAGGTAGTATCACAACCACCTCCTTTGTGGGTGCTCCCTGATAAAGGTTTCGTGAGACCAAAACATTCCAGTCAAGCTGTTGCCTATGGCTAACAGCTGTCTTCAAAGTCGGGGTAAGTAAAGTAAAATCTTACAAGGTAAATGCCAGAGGCCACTGCACCCAGGCACTGTTGATTGACAACCAAGACTTGTCTGTTGACAGTTACAGAGCAATTTTCACCAAAAAAAAAAAAAAAATCTTTCAAAGGGACCATCAGTCCAAAAAAAAAGAGACATAACAAAGGCAGTGAATATTAAAATTAAAATTTAGGTTTGAGTAGATACCCACAGAGATGGCTAACAATAAAAAACAATACTACTTAATTAATAGGTATGAAACTTGTGAAAGCATTCACATATAGTATTCAATTATACCTAAAAGCAGAATTTTGGTGAGCCTCTGAAGTAGGTGATTTGACTTTCATTTATAGAAAAGGAAACTAAAGTTCAGAAAGAACTACACAGCTATTCAGGAGGATCAGATAACAAAATCTTTTAGCTTAAAATGTCCATTCTAACTATAAGTCTTTATCTTTAATTCATTAGTCAATTTGACTTAAATATCTTCTGATTTCCTCCAATTGAGTTTAACTTGTTCAGTGAAAATTTAGAATTTTGCAAGAAAAATGAACAATAGATGAAAAGAATAAAAAGTTAACACCAGGAAAATGGATTGCTAATCATATTTACTGGGACAATGGTACAGACCCACAATTAAAAAAAAATGGTATTGATTTTCTTAATTATGAAGTTAAATGGTAACTAGACATATGAGATACGTGTCTGTGATAAATATTATCACTTGTAAATGGTTAAAATGGCAGATTTTAAAATACTGCTTATTAAAGTAGATCCATCAAAAGCATGTAATTCTGGACAGCTAGAAAGAATAGAAACAATTCTCAATAAAGAGAGAGAATTTTGTAACCCAAACAAACATTTGTTATATGGTCTCATTTTGTCATCTTTCCAACTTCTTCCCTTGTATAATTCTGAGACTGAATCCACTGATAGACATATTTATATTGATCTTACTGCTTTGCCCATAAGCTACATGGCTCTCTACCTTACTTCTTTTTTACATTTCCATATTTCCCATATTTCATATACTTTCTTCCCTACTTTGTTTTTTTCTTAGCACTTAATTACTCTTTGATCTAAATTTATTTATTTAATTGTCTATTGCATTTAAATTCCAAGAGTGAGGGATTGTTGTCTTGTCACTACTAAATACCTAGTACTTAGGAAAGTAGACTGCATATAGCATTTTCGCAAACAGTAAATATTTTTTGATAAGTTGAATGAATCTCCTGTAATGAGATGAAATTACTATTAGAGTAATTAAAGGTGAAAAGGCATGTAAAAGATATGAGAAAGGTAAGCTAAAAATATTTTATTTGACTTAGTAAGAGGGGAAAAAAGCATACAGCTTATGCTAGTAAGAATTATTAGATGGCAGAAATACATAGAAAGGGTTCTTTTATTTTGAAAAGTAAAATATTACTTAAATGTAGAAATTTTTAGTAATGTCTAAAAGATTTTTTTAATCTATAGCTCTCGTATGTTTTCCAGAGAGCAATCTTATATAGCTAAGGAAGAAGTTAATCTCCTTTCTATAAATTCCTTTTAAAACTATATTAGAAAATGGTTTAAGGGAATATAAGTACATTAGAGAATAAAATGTTCAAAAGCCAAGAAACTTAAAAATCTATGCACTAAGTGTCATAATTGTTCTATACCTATAAATACAATACTTACATTTGACTTCAAACAATTCAAAAAGTTAAAAAAAAATCCAAAGGGAAACTTATTTTATTTTTAAAACCACTATTAATAGCTAACCTTCTCTCCAAATAGAGAAATGAAGAGAGTTAAAGAATGCTTTTAATTGACATTTCCAAACTGGCTCTGAAAGGCACTCAAATAATTTCTCCCTAAAAATTTCTTCTGGCTTAATGGAAAACAAAGTGAAACAAATTGTGTTATTAAAACTGATCATGTTAAGTAGTGATTTTTCTCCAATATAACTTTATTATCCTAAATATCTAATCCATTATGTCATGCATAAAACTCTTTATCCTAACTTTTGCTCTTGTATTTATTTTAGAGTTGACCTATATGAATAGTGGTAATTTTAAGAAAGGAACAATTTATTTATTCATAGAATTTACACCACTCTATACACAGACTACTTTATGAGTCTAAAGGATTCTATTTATAACACAATGCACTTAGAAAATTATTGACAAAAATAATAACATAAGATGACACTTTAAAAAACAACCTGTATACCTTAAATATCTACACCACAAAATTTCTGACATTATGCAAAGTATTTTAGAGTAACCCTCAAAAGAAAATCATACACAGTTCTTTACAACTATAAGGCATAAATATTTTAAACATCATAAAATACCCAAATAAATTCATACCCTTTAATCTAGACATTTTATGTTGATAATTCATTTTATTCATTGGAAGAAAAATGGCTATATTTACTAAGCTATTCATTGCAGTGTTATCTATAATAGCAAAAAAAAATAGAAACAAATTATTTAACATAGTCAGGAAATGGTTAAATAAACAATTTAGTATCAACTCAGTGTGGCATTGTGTAGCCATTAAAGTAACTGGAGTTACAGGAGCACTTGGAAATACATTCAACAATGGTAATTGAATGAAGCCAAAATAGAAAAAAAGTGGAGTACAAATATGAAATATACATATACATATGGAAAAATCTATAAAACCATAACTCTTTAAATACTAGGAATATAAGTTAGCACATGCCCTATTCAGTTTACTGTCATTGCTACACTGCTTTTTGATAAAATAAGAAGATACAAATTGCTCACACATTTAAAACTCTTTCTCACTTATACAGTCATTCATGTATTCAACTACTATGTACTAAGCACTTACTAGGTACCAGGCATTGTTTTAGGTGCTGGGGATACAATGGCCAACTAGGCAAAGATTCTAGCCTTAAGAACTTATACTGTAGCTTGGGAATTAAGTATATAAGACAAGAAATTAAAAATAATAGCTGAGAGTAAGCAGTATCGAAGAGGCAAAGTCTAAAATAAATGAGTGGTCTGGGAAAATCTCTTTGATGAAGAGACATTTGGGCTTATATATCATTGCTACACCATGATATATACAGAGAAAGAGGAAAATCAAACTGGTACTTATTCATCATTTAAATTTCAGCTTATATATCTCATATTGCCAGTATAAATTTCCAGTATAAAGCAGAAATGGCTTAATAGGTTGAAGAGAAGAAGGGTGAGAGTGCTCTTCAAGTGAGGTCCAAGTGGTAGGCAAGTTGTGATATCACTGGCACCATCTCTGCCTAGTACAGAGTCTGGATTTCATTCTGATCACCAAGGGTAGGCATTGGTATGGATTACCTGTATAAACTATTTGCATACTTTTATTAGCATCTTTTGATTAATAGAAGTCAAATTTGGATAGCACAAAATATTGAGCAGGAAATGTGTTAAAAATAATAGCATGCTATGTTGATGACACACAGGTGAATTGATGGTAGGAAGCCCAAGGGGATTACAACTGATATGGGAAAAGGCACAAAATCATGCAAAATAAACTATTATATTATTTTTAAATAGAAAAAAACATGTAAAAGTAAAAAAAAAAAATAGCATGTAGCAATGCAGAGCCTGGTCTAGTAATTTCAAGGCAGAATAGAGGAATGAGAAACCACCACAGAAATAAGGACTTCACATTAAGAGGCTGCCCTCTTAGCATGAACATAAAGAATGTCAGACTTAGAAATGTGGGTCTTGAAACCAGAAGTAAATGTTCCAGGTAAGAAAAAGAGCAGCGTGATACACAAAAACAAAAAACAACAACAAAAAAAGATTGAACCAGAACAAATTTATTACAAGATAACTATGCCTGTTTGAGAGCTATTTAGATTTCCTTAAGTAATAAATAGTCATACCTTTGGTTTTTGTGTATATAGTAAATGATAAAATTTACTCATCCAACTTATAAAGGTGGATTCAATCATTCTCAATAGCATCTTTTGTCATCTTTATTAAGTCTTAAGTTAAAAAAAAAGAAAAAAAGCAACCCCTCTGAGAATTGCAACATGTTGCTGAAGATGAATTCTCCATTAGGATTAAAGGTCGTCACCACCAGACAAACCAAAAACAGGTAAGAAAATCTCTTACAAGCCTATCAAAGCTTATTTCTCCCTCTGTAAATACTGTGCAACAAATAGTTATAAATAGGGGGGCATTACTCAATAATAAGTAGCAAGAAATAACTTGCTTACAGAATTAGGTTTAGTAAAAAATGTAGAACATAATAATTTACAAACAGGTGTTTTTGCCTCATAAGCCCAGTAATACTGAAATACTATGTTTCTCTATGTAGAAAATTATTTATTTTACCTAGAGGTGGCCTAAGATTTTTTTTTCTAAAATATTAAAAATATATCTACCATAGAAGCCAGCAATTCCACTCCTTGGTATTTATCCAAACAATTCAAAAACACTAATTTGAAGGGTTATATGCACTCCTGTGTTCACAGCAGCATCATTTACAATAACCAAGTTATAGAAACAGCTTAAGTTGCTAATGACAGATGAAAGGGTTAAGAAGATGTGGTGTGTATATGTGTGTGTGTGTATACATACATACATACATACATACACACACACACACACATATATATATGGAATACTATACAGTGATTTAAAAGATGACCTCTTGCCTTTTGCAACAACAATGATGACCTGGAGGGGATTATACTAAGCAAAATAAGTCAGAAGGAGAAAGACAAATGCAGGATGGTTTAACTTGTATACAGAATACAGAGAACAACATAAAAGTTAAGATGAAACCAAATCAAAAACACTAGAAATGTAACTGTAGAATTGAAGCTACCATCAGGGATGGGCAGGAAAGGAGGGAGTAGACCCAAAGGCCTATGATAGAGAATTATGGGTGCTTTGTTGGTAGGTATGACATTGTACCATATACCTAAAGGGCTGTGAACTTATACCTCTGAATCATTTACAGTGTTGTAAACCAATATTATGCCAGATAAATAAAAATTTGTTCATGTGTATCAGTTATACCAATATCATACTTCAGCTCTGGTTAATTTGTCCTTTTTTCTTGAGACAGCAAATAGTTTTCAATATATTATTTTGTCCTTCACATCAGGAATGCTAGTTAAAATTCAAGCAATGCTAACTATGATCAGAAGGAAATGCATATATTTGGTCCAAATATTTTACCCTCTATTTGGGAAAAGAAAATTTGTTCCTCAAATAGAATTTTAGAATCCAAAAATAATGGGTTCTCAAAATGATACTGAGGACATTTAAGCCTTTTTATAAAACTGCTGGATAGTTTTTTATTTTTTCCCTAAATTTCCTTAATATGTTTAGGCAACTTTGAAAATTAAAACATTATAAAGTTCTAATTGCAGATATAAAATTCCAGTGGATAATTCAAGTTTATATTATGTTTGAGTTTAACACAATTACCATTTCTGGTTTTTCAAAATGCTTTTGTAACTATTGGCAACCTTATTTCCCATCAGCTTTTCTCATAAAATCAAATTCATAAAATAAATGTTTCATCTCAAGATTTATGACATTTACCTTCTGCAGTATCTGAAAAGGAGATGGAAAACAGAGTGGTTTTAATTCAGCAGAGCAGGATGAAAAAGAAAAATACTGCTCTAGGAAGGGAAGTCAAGAATACCCTAAAAAAAGGAGAAACTGCAACCTACCTTAGAGATAAGGAGTACTTTAGACTAGAACATTTTGGTGTCCTCTGGACAAAGAGGATTTACACTACAAAAGAGTGATAAACAAGAACAAGCTATATTCTATATTTTCTCCATGACCTAACTTACTTTTTATAATTATTTTCTAAGCCCTCATTTGTGACTTTTTTGACACCACATGAGAAGCTGCCCAAGTGTGAGTGTTGGATAGAGGATAGGTGATAAGGCAGTTACTTTCATGAAGCGTAGCCCTGAGACAGTGCTAACCCCTCAAGCAACATACAAAACAAAATCTGGAAGATATTAGTATCTAATAAATTCAGTATATTCAATTAAACTTTTCTCTGCTTTTGGTAATTTACTCCTATAAAATATTCTGGAAAATGGCATTTATTTTATTACAAGATATAGATCTTATTTTGTTAAATGCCTGCATATGTACACTTCCTCTTATATACTCACACACATATACAACTGAACTCAATAGTTCACATTTTTAATGGAAAGACGTATATTTCCCCCCTAAATACCATTTTTCCACCTAATTTGCAAGAAGAAAAAGTGAAAATAAATTAAAATTAATTTTGACTCTCTTGTAGTGAGAGCATAATGTCCAACAAATTCTGGTTCATTGCCTCTGTGGATATTTTTATGCAAGAAAAAAGATCTTTACCATAACCAATTAAACGCTTCCTATTTATAGTCTAGCCCCACTTTCTTTTATTGAAGAAACTTAAGTATGTTTAGATTCTGACTGTATGTTTTAAATAGTAGCATAATTTGCTCAAATGGTAAACTTACTGTCTCTTTTATTTATCCCTAAAAAAAAAAAATTGTAGAAGTTGTCATACTACTTTAAAAATGAGAATGATTGGCCCTCCCTGGTGGCACAGCAGGTTAAAGCATAGCATTGAAAAGCTAAAGCCACTTCCACATCAGTTCGATTCCCGCCTGCCCCGGAGGTGACCACATGGCGTGACAGACCTCTCCTGGCCTGCCTGCTGCTCCCCTCAGCAGTGTACTTCGTAGATCTGCCTGTTCTGCTCCCCACTCTGTCTCCGGTGAAGCCTCTCACCACCCCTGAGCCTCGGCCTGTGCCCCAGTTCTGTACGCACAAATAAATAAATCTTTAAAAAAAAAATGAGAATGATTACTGGTTTAGCTGGAAGTTTTTAATCATCATTCTTTTTTGACATGCTAGCTACTACATTCCCTGAATAGGCAAAATGGCAGCTGTTCTTATCACTAATGTTCAGTTTCACTGGGAATAACTTTGTTCTTTTCATTTTTCATTCTTTTCATTTTCATATTTCCTCTACGGAGACTACAGAGACAACTAGAACCAAATATATTTTCACCTCAGTTTTATAAGAGGAATAAACAATGAAGTTTGTTATACCCCTAGTGAATATTTGCTTGGGGCAAAAAAGTGACAACTGCTTCCCATCCTAATGGTTACCTTCTGAGGAAGGTGATAATCATCTTTTTTTTTTTAAATGATTCTTGCCACTAAATCCTTCTAGTAGAAGAAAAGTTATACAAAGAATCAAGAAATTAAATAAAAAATAATAAATTATAAGAGAAATGGAAAAACATTTAGAAGGCATTGAAATTTTACTTTCACTAAAATTTTCTTATTTTATTTTATAAAAATTCCAATAAAATTTCTTAATAGTGATATGAGAAAGTCAAGACTGTATATGAAAACAAAGAATCTGACATAAAATTTAACTTCCAGAAAATGGAAATACCTAGAATTGTACCAATTATATGGCTTTCTTTACCATGAAGTACAGAATATGTTAAAGTTCTTATTAGTTGTTCCTCAATATACAAGTTTACTACTAAAGAGGTAATTGAAATCTGAAACATTAAGGAATGTATGCTAATAGTTGTGACTAGAAACCCAAAAAGTATGAATAATTTTTAAATGATCTCTCCTACTCCCTCTATTGAAACAAAATTTATAAATCAATACAATTTTAAAATAAATTATCGCTTATAAGGGACTCCATTTTCCTGTCTGTCACTGTGAATATAAATTAGGAGTTAAAGGTGACCCAAAGACTCTGTGTTCCATACCACATGATACTATTTACCTCAGCTGGAAATAATAGCACTATAAGTATAGAGAAAAATGTGAAAGAATCAGCAATCCTCCAATTTGAAGAGTTGTCTATTTCTTACCGTGTCTTTTCCACCTATGACCTCTTATTGACATGCTGGTTACTGCATTTCTTGAAATTCTAGAGGCAGTTGGTGTGATTTCAACTTGAATACACCTTGTACCCTCCTTACTAGATTTCATGGCACCATGAGGCAATGAAGCCTTTATTGCATTAGCAACCTAAAGAGAAAACATATAGCTTAAAATTGATAATTAACAGATGTGCACACTTTTAGACAAAACAAGATGATAACAGGTTTTTAAAAAGATTATGTTCTGCAAAGCATTTCATAAGACAACATCTCCATGTTCCTCTAGATTATGGAGTAAGAGCCCAGAAGAAAACTTACATAATAAATATAATGACATTAAGAGTTCCAAAATATTTTTAAAAGAATTCCAAAATATAAATTATATTTCCAAATGCCTCCTGCTAACTAATAAATGCAGATCCAGTATGGTATAAAGAATATACAAAAAGCCATGTTTATCAGCTATCTGAAGTTAAGACTAATGAAATTTTCGTATTTTATTATATATACCTTTCCTAGTGACAAATTTTCTAGTATAACAGAAGCATGAGTCACTGCAAAGTAATGACATACTAATACTAAAATTTCTTAATTGAGAAATTCTAAATTATAAAATTTATACAAAATAAATAAGGCACCTACCAGCAATGGCTCTGGATATAATTCTAGCTGAGCTCTATATATGATATCATCCAAAGCTTTTTGAGCTAGATCCCATTCTCCATTATAACTGTAAAATTAAATGAGTTAAAGAAGAAAGTACAATTATTGTTAATTAATTCTACACAATTAAACAAGATATAAAAAGAACCTGCTTATGATTAGTGAGGAAAGTAACATCATATTAGCACTCTCCTTAGTTTCCTCTTTCCTCAAAAATTTATTTTTAAACCTTTGAATTCCTTTCAATTGTATCTGGAAGCTTATTAATAGCGAAGAAAATTTCATACATGTACATTTCTTTAAAGAACATGTCTATTTATGGAACAAAAATCAAAACAGTTAAGGCAATCTCAAAACACTTTATACTTTCAAAGGAAAGCACAGCAAATTATATACATTACAATGCTGTACAGATCACTTTATACTCAAATTATTCTTTAACTCCCATAGTTTTTAATGAGCACTACAACTAGTATGGCTTGTGGTGTCCTAAAATGTTACTTCTTTGTCTTCTGACAGTCATTTAGAAATACAAGTGATGTTTGAGGGAAATATCAGAGTAATGCTGAGGAAAAAGTAGTATGTGTATTAATTTTCAAAGGTATGGTCAAACTCTTCCTTAAACTCAGCTAGTAATAAAAATGTACTTGTAAATAATGGTTTCATTATCTGCCAACAAAATATAAAATGTGAATTACATCAAAATATCCCTGGTGGCGTAAAGTATAAGGACCAGCATTGCAAGCTAGCCACAGCCGCTTCAGTGCAAGTTCGATCCCCGGTCCTGGAGGTGACCCACATGGCGTCTCCTGACCTCTCCTGAAATGCCTGCTGCTCCCCTCAGCAGTGCACTTCGTTGATCTGCCTGCCTGCTCTGCTCCCCACTCTGTCTCTGGTGAAGACTTTGAGCATAATTAAGTGTTACTTATTTTCATACTGTCCTTGAATTAAAGACACAGGATGAAGTGTTTCAGTTGGTTACAAATTCTTCTATTAAAGTATATATTTTAAACAATAAAACTATTATCAAAATCTATATTCATATTTTGCAAAATGATGATTTTGATTTTTTCTCTGTTGAGATTATAATAACAACTAAAATTGACTATAATTTCTAAAGAGATCTAGGTCTACTTCATATATGAAATAAACTTACAAAGCAAAATAAATCCCAGTTAACATTTGCACCATGAATCCTGAAGAAACTGGTATCCTGCTACTTATACCTTTGTATTTTCTTATATGCTGTCGAGGATATCCACAAACACAGATCCTAGAAACATGAAAATAAATACATTTGTAAAACTGGTAAAATATTAAGTAGCTTTTTAAAACATGTTTAAGTCAACAATGTATTAGCCATGTTCTTTTAACAAATTTATGAAACCAAGACTATTTCCAAATAGAACATCTGCCTGTAGCATTTTCCTAAGTTAGACTAGAAGCATATAAAGTTAGAGGTACATTTTTAAAGAGCAAGTGAATCAGATTCTCAATTTGATTCACCAATTTTTCTCTCTGTCACATGAAGACATGTTGAGAAGGCAGCTATCTATAAGCCAGGAAGAGGGTTTTACAAGGAATCAAAAGCTGTCAGCACCTTGACCTTGGATTCCCCAGCCAAGAGAATTATGAGAAATAAACATGTAGTGGTTAAATCAGTTCATCTATAATCTTTTATTACTGTAACCTGATATGACTAAGACAGAAACTAAGAAAAATTAGCTGTGCATCAAATAAACCAATTCAAATTTTGTTTGTTATAAAAAATGTACATCCAAACTAGAATAGAGATTCTTACTCTTATAACCTAAAGAAGTAAACTTAGAAAAAGTTCTTACACCTTACAGCTTTATGTAGGGAAAACCGTAAATATCAATAAGAGAATGAACATATGAAAGACAGGCTTTTCCAATCAATTCATTTATTCATTCAATAAACACATTTTCTAGCTTTTCTTGCATCTAACTATGATCATGTAACTTGTTCTAGACAATAATCTATTAATAGAAGCAGCTGCATGCCTGTTCCTTGCTTGCAGGACAGAAAACAGATATAATAGCAGTGATCTATATGTACAGTGGTCACTTCCTACAGAATGACAGAAACCCAAGAAAGGAGGAGCCTGAACACTTTAGAAACAGCCAATCTACTTCTAAACTATCAACCAACTTAGATTTTTAGATAAATAAATAAATAAACATCCACTTGATTTAAGTCACCATGATTTATCACTACTATAACAGTCAAATCAATATTTAAACTGGTAAGTATGCACTTTTAATAATAGTATCCAACATGGCCCCTGAGGAGTTTGTAGAAACCTCAGGCTGGCAGAATCAGAGCCTTTTTGCTGGATTGTTTTCCACAGAGAAGCTGAGAGAGATGTTCTTTATTCTGAGTTCACTAAAGGTTGACAGTATTATAAACTTTTAGCTGCCTGTGGTCACTATCCTTTCCACATTAAAGAAGTTCATCTTCAGAAAGAAAGATGGAGAATTTGATATAAGAGACATGGGAGAGGATAGCCTCATAACATTTGAGCTTCTGGATCTAATTGACCCCAAGGCCAGTTCCAGCCCTGTTTTTCCAATGTACCAATAGCCACAAAGTTTTCTCTTCAGTATAATCTAGTTTTATGTAGATATCAGATAGCTGCCATAGAAAGAGTTCTAACTTTGATAAAGGATCTATGGGATATATTGATAGAGATGGTTACTGTACTGAATAAACAAATTTAAAAATGAAGAGAGAAATACAGGGTTCAGGAAAACAACTTTTTCTGTAACTTTTACAAAGACAATTTTGCCATAGTTCTAAGAAGGTCAATCAATTTTTTTTAATGAAAAAAATATAAAACATCTCAATATTATATTGAATACATGTAAAATGATACTATTTAGGATATACTGAATGCAAACTATTTAAATTTACTCCATTTTCTTCTTTAATGTAATGACTTAAAATTTCTAGCTGGCTTGGAAAAACCTTAATTGTTAACTAAGTTTACATTAGCTAACAACAAAAGGGTAATTTTCTTAAGTACCAAAATGCTTGAAAGGGTCACAGGCGGATAAGATTCCAGATTTTCTCATTTTCTCGATTAGTTACCCATTTAGGAAATAAGCTATCAAGAGGAAGGAAGAGGGGAGAGAGAGCTAAAGACAAAGAGAGAAGGAAGCACAATTGACTATCAGCACTACAGGTGACTTGGTGATGGTGCACTACAATGGCTATAGCTGATGGCAATACAAATATTACCACAACTAAAATAATTAATTAAGAAAATTTTAAAAAATAAGCAATCGTCTATTAGAGGCTGAACTATACAGAAATGCAAGGATTAGAATTAAGGCATTGCCTGTAGTAACAAGTAACTGCAGACTGAGTAATTGATAAAAAACAGAAATTCTCAAAAAGGATAAATTCATGCCCTTCACAGCAAAATGGATGGAGCTGGAAGCAAAAGAAAAATATTGGACCTCCTTGGTGGCGCAATGGGTTAAAGTGCAGCCCTACAAGCGAGCTGCAACCCCTTAAGTGTGACCTCTCCTGACCCTTCCGCTGCTCCCCTCAGTAGTGTACTTCATAGATCTGCCTGTTCTGTTTCCCACTCTGTCTCTGGTGAATCTGCTCACCGCCCCTGCACCTCTGGCCTGAACCCCAGTTCTGTATGCATAAATAAATAAATCTTTAAAAGAAAAAGAAAAATATTGAATGGTCTCACTTATAGGAGGAATGTAGAGAAAACAAAAAAGGAATCAGGAAAAAAAGAATAGCTATAATAAAGAAAAAATCAAAATCATCAAGCAACTATAGATCAGAGACATTCTGTAGGTAGGAGGAGGGAGAAGGACCAGGACAGGGGTTGGGAAGAGTACAAGGGACTATGGTGATGATGCACAGGTGAATTGGTAGTAGAAATTTTATGGGGAAAACATACATTGCACAAAATGAAGGATGATATAATGAATGCATTTTAAAATTAAAATAAAAAAATATTTTGAAAATTAAAAAAAGAAAAAACAGAAATTTATTTTGAACAGTTTTGAAGGCTGGAAGTCTGAGATCAGGACACCAGTATAGCTGGATAAGGACTCTCTTCAAGGCTATAGTTCTTTTTCATTATATTCCAACATGGCAGAAAGGGTGAGGAACCCTGTGGGATCCCTTATATAATAGCACTAATCCCATTCAAGAGAGCTCATCCATGGTTCTAAGCATCTCCCAAAGGCCTCACCTCCTAATACTATCACACCCTGTATTATGATTTCAACATATAAATTTGGACAGGGAAGACACAACCATTCAGACCACAGTAATTAGTTTTTCATAACCACTAAAACTTTACTCAAGCTGTAGCAATTGACTGCAGGAATTTTGCATATATCAATGAGCAATTTCAAAAAGTAAAACCCTAATTATTTTCTTTAATCATAAAATGTAAGCGTTCATCTACCATTCTATTCATTCAACAAATAGTTAAGTTTCCAGTGTGTGCCAGACACTTCTGTTAAATTCTAAAGACGAACAGAACATCAAAGTTCTTGACCTCATGAAGTTCCTGCAGGTGAAACACTATACTAAATGAATAAACAAGGTAATTACAGTGCTAGCAGTGCTAAAAGGAAATAAACTGGAGCTGGAAGGTACTAGTTTTTTTAAAAGACAGGTATGGAGGCCTTTCCCATGAGGTAACACTTCAGCTGAGACCCAATCTAATCTGTCCAGCTGTATCATCAAACTGAGAATGGTATCACTGACCTTGTTTCTCCATTCCATTCTTTTAAAACTTAAAAAGTTTGTGATTTACTTTTTAGCCCTCTGATCTCTGTATTCAAGGATATTCTTTTCTCATAGGTTCTTCACTAAATTCAAATGAAATGCAGGTTATAAAACAAAAACACTCATTAACAGTACTTGCCACATGAATCCCTGACTCCTCTGTGCATCAGAGGAGTATCCTGAAAGTTATCTGATTTCCTTTACAAGTCCCACACAAAAGAGTACCTAGGGTAGTGGTGATGGCGTAATTCCAATTTCTGTATTAATTTACTCAACAGAAAATACATACACATTTCATAAACTACATTGAAGGAAAAATCTTTTTAGAAGACTTATTTGTCAGTGCATAGCTGGGAAAGCTCTGAGTATCGATTTTTATGCATGATTCTGATTATCTGTTGAGAGGCACTGTCACATTCTTACTCTGAAATGTAAACTCTTGAAGTTGTTATCACTATACTCTATAAGTTACAAGTAGCGCTAATCACTTTGTAATACCCATCAGACCAGTGAGTAGAAAAACTTGAGGCATCTCTGCCTTAAAAAAATTAAAATAGGCCCTCCCTGGTGGCGCAGCGGGTTAAAGCACAGCACTGAGAATCTAAAGCCGCTTCCACATGAGTTCGATTCCCGCCTGCCCTGGAGGTGACCACATGGCGTGGCAGACCTCTCTGACCAGCCCGCTGCTCCCCTCAGCAGTGTACTTCGTAGATCTGCCTGTTCTGTTCCCCACTCTGTCTCTGGTGAAGCCTCTCACCGCCCCTTAGCTTCTGGCCTGTACTCCAGTTCTGTATGCAAAAATAAACCTTTAAAAAAATAATAAAAAATAAAATAATAAAAAAATTTAAAATAAGAAACGTATTACAAAGACTTAATAACTGGAGAAGGAAAATTAGCACTATCTTTCAAGGTCTACGAAATATAAGTATTTTCAATACAGGAATCATTTGAAGATTCTCTCCACTTCTTTCCTTTTGCAACAAGTCCTTTGCCTTGTTACCTCCTTGCCCTCCAGTCTTGAGAAATGTTCTATTTATTCGATATCAGTGTTTGCTGTTTTACTTTGCTTTGATTTGATTTCTGGTATTTGCTCTTCTTTTCACTAAATATCCCTACTTGCATTTCCTGAATAAATACTGTAAATCTAAATTATTCTATGAGTTCCTTAATTCTATATTTTCCCTAATTTATTTGAAAGATCAAAAGCATTTTCTCAATGACATTTTTTTCATTTTGCTTTTCCTGCTAAAGATAAAATATTCATATAGGAAATTTAAGGATTGCTCAAACACTGACATGAGAAATTTTAAAATTAGTTATAATTTAATTAATTAGAAATAACTATTGTTACTACTCTGATCATATCACCAATGCTGGAATCATATCATATATACTCTTTAAAAATCAGAATTTTTAACTGTTGAAAAGCATACCGAAGGCTATCATAATTTATTCAGTCCTTTGTCTCAAATTCTTTCCAGCAACAAAAGCTTAAAAACAATTATCTCTTACTATTTCTTTGTACTTAATTATAGCACAGTAAAAATAAATACTAAAAGGTAAAGAAAATAGAAACCAATCACATACCAAAAACTGAAATCATATAGTTCCATCCTTTATATCCTATGACCCTTTTCTAATTAAATGTTCCACTGAAATTATATTTAGCTTCACCCTCTTCATTATGTTTTTATGGATAACATTTACAGGAAGCTTTCTAGGTATTGACTAGGCTAAACTTCATATTAACTCATTTAATATTTTAAACAAACAAAACAAAAAAATTAGTAATTCTAGACTCAATATTGAAAACATCTGAATTTTAATTTACCTTGAACAAATTTGACACAGTGATTGAAGAGAAACACTGGGCATATAGGTTAAGGCAGCATTGTAACACAACAAAAGGAATGTCAACACTTCAAACCTAAAGACAAACCAAAAGAATATTTATAAATTTTAAAAGTCTAGTCAACCAACTATAATTAAGCAGGCATTGAGGAGAGGTATTATGTTATAAAACAGATCTGTACAGTATAATCACACAATGACAAAGCAAAACTATAAAGAAAAAGTAACAGTCATTAAAAAAAATCATCTTAAAAATTCAATGATCAGGCCCTCCCTGGTGGCGCAGCGGGTTAAAGCACTGCACTGAGAAGCTAAAGCCACTTCCGCATGAGTTCAAATCCCGCCTGCCCCGGAGGAGACCACATGGCGAGGCAGACCTCTCCTGGCACTGAGAAGCTAAAGCCACTTCCGCATGAGTTCAAATCCCGCCTGCCCCGGAGGAGACCACATGGCGAGGCAGACCTCTCCTGGCCCGCCCGCTGCTCCCCTCAGCAGTGTACTTCGTCGATCTGCCTGTTCTGCTCCCCGCTCTGTCTCTGGTGAAGCCTCTCACCGCCCCTGAGCCTCTGGCCTGTACCCCAGTTCTATATGTACAAATAAATAAAAATTAAAAAAAAAAATTCAATGATCAGACATCCCTAGTGGCGCAAGTGTTAAAATTCTCAGCACTATCAAGCTATCCTATCACGGAATTTGATCCACCCTGCAAGGGAGCTAACCCACATGGCACAGCAGACCTCTAACGTCTCAGCCACTGCTCCCCTTAGCAGTGTATTTCAGTAGATCCACCTGTTCTGCTCCACTTTCTGTCTCTGGTAACTCCTCTCACCTCCCCACACCTCTGGCTTTTATGCATATACCTCCAGCTCTTGTATACATAAATAAAAATAAATCTTTTTTAAAATTCAGTGAATTAGAGCAACATGGATAGAACTGGAAGGGATTATGCTCAGTGAAATAAGATGGCTTCGCTTATAGGAGGAACATAGGGAAACCATACAAGAGACCAGGAAAAAAGGCAAAACTAGCAGTCAAAATATAATTGGAGACATTCATCAGAGGAGGGATCAAAATGGCAGAGAAGTGCACAGAAGTCTATGGTGAGTGTTCATGGGTGCCTTTGTGGTGGTAATTTTATGGGGACAACACCTCCTGAAAGGAGAAATCAAACATTGTACAAAAACTTAATAACAATGTAAAAATATATAAATTAAAAAATTCAATGATCTAGATTACATCTAAAGCAAAGTAACAAATTGAGGAGATATGTTTTTCTCTTATATAAAATGACTCAATGTTTTTAAAAAACTGACACACAAGTCATTAAACATTATTTATAAATCTACTGAAATAATTTTGTTAACTTGGTGTAGTAAAAATCTATAGTAATACCTATTCTGTGCTGTCAGCATCTCTCTTTGGGGGTGAGGTCCACTGTACACGACCTTTGATAAACCATGCTGGGATAGTGCACTCTCAGTCAGAGCCATGGACCCAATGCTGGAAGGCTAATGAAAAGACATTTAAATGAGGAAGGAAAGTCATTCTGTAAAACATGTCAAAATTAGGAAAAAAAGTATACCACAAAGAAAAAAGATCACATGTTTTAAAAGTATCCAGACTACTTATTAAATTTTCTATTCAAAGAATAGAGCAAGTTAACAAGTAACTAAAAACCATACCACAAATAGAAAGAAACAAACAAAAAATTAGTTTAACTTCATAAGTTCTACTATGCATATACATCATTGCCACCCACACAAAAATAAACTAATTTCCTTCAGATATTTTCAGAAATGTATTTCAAAATGAATACCTTCAACAGGTCTCTTACTATCAGATTTTAAAACATAATGATTTTGATTTTCCATTTCACTTTGGGAATAGTAAATACTTTGTGTGGTATTTATACTTTTTAAGGTACAAAACAAATTGATTAATTTATTTTGCCTGAAAAGCCAGATCCTAATTTATAGCAACTCCAAAACTTAGAACCAACAAACTTACTTTGATAAAATGTACTTACTTCATGATATACAGATGGTTTGGATAAAGATGGAATTGTAAAGCTCAATACTTTGCTATGTCCCTGTTTGTCAACTATTTCCTACAAAAGTGGAAAAAGATCTTAAAATATTTAATTTCTTACACATAATTTAAAAGTTAAAATTGCTAGTTTAGAAAGAACTAAGAAATTAATCTTAAAGTCAACTAAAATTTAAACTATCACTTTAAAGTATTATCCAATAAGTATTACTTTTAAAATATAAGTAGCATATAATTTTAAGAATGACTGATTAACACCCAAGGATTACATAATTTATTTACCTGTTTCTTGACTCAAGGAAAGTTTAAAAACCAGCATCTCTTAAAAGTCTTAAAAATCATTGATATTTCTCAGATAAAAAATTATAATTAATATAGTTTTATAATACACAAATAAAAGGTCTTTAAATTTTTTTCTATTTTAAGAACTACAAACTTTAAGTATTTCAAATACCATACTAATTCATATAAGCTCTATAATGCAAACTATATATTAAATCAGTATTGTAAACTCCAAGGCAGTTCAAATTTTATGGAATTGTTACTTGTAAATTTTAGACTAGTTCTTTTCTCCTAAACTTTTTGTGAAGATGATACATAGTGTCTTTGTGTTTAAAAACTGTGAAATCAACACATTTTCAGATATCTATAAGAGAACTGAAATGGTCTGATTTCCAGTCTTCAGTCAATTCTAATACATCTTAACATAACTATATGTATACCGATATAGCCCTCATAAAGTTACTTTTTGGAGAATGCGCTGTGAGTAATTTGATGTATGAAAAATAAGTATTAGTTTTATTAAAATGAAAAATAGTTGCTATTATATATTTGTTTTTGCTGGAAAACATTTTGTTAACTACATGAAATACAAACCAAATTATAAACCCCTAGAAGAAGAGCTTCAATGCATCCACTGCTATGAACATTTCTGCTGGCTGAGACAGCAAGGTAGCACCAAATAAGTTCTGGGAGAAACTGCAGTGTAAATCGAAGCAACTGCTCCTCTCCACTGCGGTAGAACTCAAAGAGCTGGTGACAGACAGGTTCTAGCAACTAAAACAAAGACGAAAGGTTAATTTAAGGACTAAAATGTTTTGAAAGACATTGATACATGACATATTTTTAAAGGTTTTCCTTGATTGGTAATTACCAAAATAAATAAATGTTTGCATCTTACTGGAAACAAAACTATTCATGGGTAAACTATTTAGTACAACTTTCAACTCCGGTGAACGGCCAGACCAGTGCACAAGAAATGTATATGGAAGTACTCTGAAACCTTTAAAATATTCTTGAAATCTAAGGTAGTATTGTTATTAAAGCTGTGTCTTTATAACTTCTTAAATTAACTAACTAGGTTGTAAGATGTTTCTTCATAAATATTTTTTCTTCCTGATAAAATACAGCAATTATTGGCTGCAAGGTTGGAGAAGTTGAGATGAGAATCAATCCTAAGTAGATGCTGTCATATCTTCCCCTGATATTACAATCAGACAGCACCACACAGCCATGACTGGTATGTGTGGTTGTCGAATAATTATAGAACCCCTAAATCAAGACCCCTATTGTAAGCACAGTTAATTGCACATGGGTAATCTAAATATTGCTGTCATTTTGTTTCACACATGATTTGGGGTTAGCTGTAACTTTCTCCTCCCCCATCATACCCCCAACATTATCCAGTCAATAGAGTTGACTGTATCTGTATAATGGCCTTTTTTTTTAATTGGAAAGACAAAAAGAGAGACTTTTAGAGGTATTATCTTAAAGCATACACAATGATCACAAGTCCTGATATATATATTTGTGTGTGTGTGTATCTTAGGAGATTCACAGGGTACTTTTTTTCAAACCATCAGCTATTATATTTTTCAATTCATTCATTTCACTAACCTAGGCAACAGATTTAAGTCAATGTATTGAACAGATATTTTACTAATAATAATTGTAATGTATAGAAATTAATTTATAGCAGATGTTTGATTTCAAATAAGTTAACTATATAAAGTAAACTGGGTATAATTAAAATAAATATTATGTATACAATGTATAGCAAAATTATACTTCAATGAACATTGACTAAGTCAAGCAGACCTTTCTGATAGAAAAAATTATCTAATTTCTGACCATTAAGAAATACTTTTTCCACTTTCGAAATGGAAAATACTGAATCTTCTATTAGAGGCAACAGATGTCTACTATCACCCTCAACAGTGACTGGAAACTGGAGTACCAGGAGGGAAAGTAAGCTCTATCTTAGAAAGCAAGAAAAGTTTAGGATAGGAATTTAGAGGAATGGAATTGGAGGTGGTATGAAGAAAGGCTATCAGGGGACTGTTTAGCTTTCAGGATAGAGTTCATAAACCTAAACTTTGATAAAATTAACTTATATGTGGTCTAGCAAATATTTGCAAAATTATGAAACCCATGTTGAAAGTGTATTCAATAACCTGCATGAACAAATAAATTTAGCCAAAATACCCTCCAAAAAGCCTTATGTTACATTTAAAATCCAAAATTGAAAAGGTTTCTTGCTTTATGAAAGCAGAACCAAATGAATAAAACGTTAAGAAAATGCCTTATCCATACTTGGTATATACAGAAATTATATAAAGAAGCTATCTACCATGACCAAAACTACACAGCTCATAACAATCAGCCATGGCTGTTGACCTCTTTACAAGCATCCTGAAAGATGTGAGAAAGGAAAAAAATGATATATAATGTGGGAAAAGCAATGTTGCACTTAAGTAACTTAAATGTATTTGAGATAACCAATGGGACATTAGAACATGATGTGTTTCTAGTGCTGTATTTTTAAATGTCTTTTCTCATAGAAATACTGTCATATTTGATGGCTACATTTTATAATGCCATTAAAAAAGCACTATACCTTAAGCATATTTTTATGTGTTAAAAAGGCTTTTTTTTAACAAGTCTAGAGAGAAACTAACCATCAGATACTTTTTTCTCCATTCTAAAACACATTCTGAATTCTAAAAAAACTAAATTTAAGGAAGCTTTTATAATAATCCATTCATAAGAAAGAAGTCTGTATCTTAAGAGAGATTTCTAATGTTAAAGGGATTGACATTTAAATGCCTTAAATGAATAAAGCAGAGATAGAAGAGGGGAAACAGCTAAAGTTGAAAAAATGTGCAAAAAATATTGTACCCTTTATTTGCATTGAACAATTACAGAAGAATACAGGTAGGAAAAAGATACAGAAAAGTTGGAAGGACACTACTATTCATGTGTCAGTAGCCAATGAGCTGACTTCTCATGCTAGATTCCCTCTGTGTATAATACCAAAAAGAATTTCTTTATCTCTTTCAAAACAGCTGGTTTCATAACAGTCTTGTACATTACTAGTCTTTAACCATCTGTCTATCTTAAAATTAGGGATTTTTTTTTAATGAATTGGTCCTTCACAAAAGTTTGAGAAACCCTGCTCTAAACTCATAGAGTTGTATTCAACTGTAGATTCATTAGTCTATCTCAACTTACCATACAAACTCCACTCAAAGTAGCCTAGTTAAAAAGTAATAATTTCTAGGTCTACTAAAATGTTAAACAGTAAATAATAAATAATATTTAATTTGTTTAATAATAAACATATGGCTATACTTCCTGTATTTGGTGAATTATCAATTAAATATGGAAAACTTTAAACTGGCTTCCACCCAAATATTTAAAAACTAAAATCCTTAAAGAAAACAGGCAAAACTTCTTAATTTGTATATATACTATACAAATTAAGAAGTTTTGCGGAGGAGGAAGGAACTAGCAAACTATTATTACTATATTCCATTATTCCAGTTAAAGTCTTTGGCTTGTCAGTATACTCTCTAATATTTTCTTCAACACCTAAAACTCATGATGCATTTTATGGAATAATCAGTAGTAGCTCCAAAAAAGGTACTCAAATAACAAGACTCTTGTTTTGACAACTTCATCCCAAAACATCATAGGTCCCTTTAGGATTGGACATCTGGGTACTACCGATGAATAATAAGATTAGTGGTGTTTGAGCTAATGATGTGATCTACCAGACTCGACCTCAGATCTCCCTCCTCTACCCTATCTCTGCCATACCCTGTAAGGCACTGCCCTTGTTCAGGTTCTCAAATGCCCCTTCCTAGGCTATTGTTACAGTCTCCTAGTCTTCTTTCAATGTTTCATTCTCCAGCCTATGTTCCACATAGCCACCTTCCTAAAACAATAATCTCATCAAATCACCTCTTCACTGTAAAATAAAAGATTCTGAAAAGCTCATGATAGAATTCTAGGCCCACCATGGTTACAACTTATCTTCCAGCTTCAGTTCCTAACAGTCTTATCTTATCTTGGCAACAACTGCATTAGACTATTAGTGTTTTCCCCCATGCCATGCTTTTTCCTTTTCTACTCTATTTCCAAACCTCTTTTTTCTATTGCCTAACTTTTCAGATAGCTCATAATAGATAGGCTCAGAAATATTTGCTGAAGGAATAAATGTAATGACCCAGGCTTTTTCTAGGCTCCTCAAACAAAGTAGACAGGTGGGTGGGTGGGTAGGTGATGGCTGATAGATAGATAGATAGATAGATAGATAGATAGATAGATAGATAGATAGATAGATAGATAGATAGATAGATATGTAACAGGGTGGTCCCCAGGAAAAGGGGAAGTTCCAGGTTCCCTGTCCCACCCAGAAGAAGGGTGGAGCTGAGCAGAGAAAAGAAGAAAAGGAATCTGAAGAGGAAGGAAGGAAGGAAGCAGGATAGAGAGCGAGAAGGAGAGCTGAGGAAGTCACATGGAGCAAAGGGAAGAAACCATGAAGAAACCATGCTTGTTTTTTGGCCCTGTGCTAGTTGAAAGAGATACGGGTGAGAGACCTGTGGAGAGGTTTACTATGGCAGTGTTTATATTGATTTTGATTTTTCTCTTCCTCCCAGACTTGTCTGGTCATTTCTGATCCTTTTCTATGGTCCTGGCCAGAAGGTGCTTTAGTCTCGTGGCGGGTTTTCAGGCCTTGCTTTGGACCAATACTTTTTGGGTTGACTTTTGCCCATAAAGGGGTGGGTAATTTCAGATGTTTTATTTAGAAATTATATTCTTTGTCTTCTGTATTGTATATTCACTGTATTAAAGTTCCTTTTCATTAAAGTCTTACATGTTTTGATGTGGCAGATGGTAGAACCTATTTAGAGCAGGCAGGTTTGGGGTTCAGTAGTGCCCCCTCTCCCTACCCTGTAACAGACATATAGACAGAAAAAGGAGGAAGAACTATTTCAAGATGGCTTTTAGAATATGGAAATAATTCTATTTCTTGGCCTACATGATAGCACCATGGAGTTAATTTTATTACAGTTTTAAACAGATACATTTTTTTCATACTTTTTCACATATGCTATATTTCATTATTAAAAAAACTTTAAATTAATCAACTAAATAGTACTAACACAATAAACTAAGTACTTACCTCACTTTGTGGCTCCTGGATAACTTTATAGAGAGAAGAAACTAAAGAATTCTTGTCTTTCAAATTTGTGGCATAATTTGATAAAGATGCTTCCGGTAATGTCTAAACAAATTTTAAAAATACATTATGAAATATTCTGATAAACAAACAAACATAGATGGAAAAGTAGATTGATTGTTGCCAAAGACTGGGGGATAAGGGAAATTGGGAATAATTATGAAGTCTACATGTTCTTTCTAGACCAATCGAAATGTCCTGGAGTTTAGATGCTGGCTTTAGCTACACAATATTGTGAAAATATTAACAATCATTGCACTATCACCTTAAATCAGTAAATTTTATGTTCTATGAATTATATCTCAATAATAAAATTATAAACATAAAAATATATTTGTCTTGTCATCAAAAGGAACATAACAGCTCATCTCTGATCTAGGAGTTAAAAATGAGAATATAAATCATGTATTTATATAAAATGTATATAAGATGTATTTTTAATAGCATCATATAAATTAAAAATCTCATGTATGTTGATCCTGATTATTGAAACACTTATTACATAAGGAACTTAAAATGCTAAAAGGTCACAGGTCAGCTGATCAGAATAACCCCTGAGTTATACATATTGAGACTGTTAAATTAAGTAAGGCTGCTCTACTTTACAAAATTGGGGAATATTTTTAGACTTCTCAGAATTGATGAAAAAGATAATCACACCACCAAAACCCTAGTTTTCCCAGGGCCATTTAAAATATTGACAACTATTCATAACTCGCCAGCATCAACCATCCAGAAAGGACACCATAACCAGAGAGGAAGGTGAAGAGATTAGAAGGTCAGCAATAAATCAGTTGATTTTGAGTACAAGTAAATCTGAAAAGGACAAAAACAAAGCACTTCATTACAACAAATGATAAAGTCCTACCCTTCTAGAGTATAACTCTTCCTTAAGTTTATCACCCTAACCATTATTCTTTTTCAAGCAAACTATTGCTTCAATTAATAATCAATCTTAATCCTGAAGTAGATATACCCTAAAATATTCTGATTCAGTTTCTTAGCTGATTCATATCTTAGTGCTTCATGATTTAAAATATAGGTGTAAAAGTGTTCATAAACATAGAAAATAAAACAGTATAAATTTTTATAATAAGAAAATTTGATTCATTTTTGCTTGAGTTCTTTAAGGGCAGAACTATCTTATCTCTCCAGCCTCAGCATCTAGCACAAGGCCTCACACTAAAACTTTTGCTGAAGGAACTTATTACAGAAAAGAATACGAAATAAACAATGTCACTGTTTATACATAAGTAGACTCTTTAAAAGTAGGTCATATTTTACCTTAGGAATTAAGTAAATAGATTTTTTTCCCTAAGAGTTTTGTTTACCAAAATGGTTAGTAAATGTGAACTATCTGGAACCTCCCACCATTCTTTAGAGATGGGGAGTGGGAATATTTTCAATTCAACCACTTACATAACGAGATTAGAGCATTCTTCAATATTTCAAAAGCACTGTAACAAAAGATCTCCAGGCAACATTCCATTTCCATTATTTGATCAAGAGTAACATAACACTGAAGGAATTTATATAAAAGGTAATAAAAGTAAATAAAGAGCAGATTTCTAATCCCCTGAATGGAAATAAACCTGATTGTCAGTGCAAAGCACAATATATGTGTGCCTGACTATTAAATTTTCAACAAGCAAATTGAAATATAAATATTTTTTAAATTATTAGTGAATAAAAAGGTTATTACACTACTTATACTATATAGGTTAAAACTGAAACACTCAAAAATAATACAAGTTTATGTACCTATTACCAATTAACTCTCATAAGGTAAAGTATTTTCTGTGAAACAGCCTCATTCATTCTATGACTGTAAGAAAGTTACTTTTGTCTATACATGGAGAGAAAATAAAATTGTTACATACACAAAGAATGGTCAAGAAAACCTAAGATCCAAAAGAATCTAACATCAGTTACATTTTCTTGCACTGTACTAGTTCAAAGGCATTGAATGCCTTTTAAATATCAGCTAAGTTTTCTCACTTTTCAGAAGGCAGAACTGAAGAACAAAAAGCAAGTAGTAATGGGAAAGTATGTTGGTAAATTAGTCTTGGCAAAATTTTAAAAAGACAGATGCTTCATACAAAAGTATCATTTGAACAGATGGTTCTTTTTAAATGTAAGGAGATGATATGGGCTGGGTGGAAAAGAATTAATGAAGACGGACAGATGGGTGGAGAACCAATAAATAAAACAACTCTGTTCAGCTTTACACATAAGACGGAACTTTGAGTCACATATTGAGGTTCAGTGACTACCAGAAAACTGAAAAAAATTAGGAGTCTGAAAATCAGCCAGTAACTCTACAAATAGTATAAGAAAAATGTAATACAATCTGAAAATATTACTTTACAAGTAATTCTCTGAGCTATTCACAGAATCTCAAAACAATAACATCCCAAGCTAATCACTTTGTTAGTATATAAGGAAAGCATTAGTGAGCCCAAAGGCAAAACCACCCAGTACAAGCATCATGATGCTATCAAAGGGTTTCTGACTTCACAGTCCAAAGTAATTTGAACCACTTTTAGTCATGATTGTCCTTGCCTTCAATAAGCCCATAATTAATAAATTTAACAACCAAAGCAATTAAACAACAGGCTTTTCTAAATATATAACTACCTCCAAACTTCCTTTATTGGATATTTTAATGCAGTTTAACATCATTAGCCTTTTAAAAGGACAAGACACTCTAAATCAAAAAGCACTTGACAGATTTGTTTTTAAGCACTCTTCTATCTTCCATTACTTCTGGTATGCTGCTGATTTTTCCTGACAACTTTAACTCTTTTATCAAACTAACAGTTGAATTCAACACACATTAATTCAACTCAGAATACTGCTCAAAATAATTTGGGGCCTCCTTGGTGGCGCAAAGGGTCTAGCTATCAGCAGCCACTGAAGCACAAGTTCCATCTCTGACCAGGTTGCTAAACCCACATGATGCAGCAGACCTGTCCTGTCTCACCCACTGCTCCCCTCAACAGTGTACTTCTGTCAATCCACCTGTTCTGCTCTCCACTCTGTCTCTTGTGAAATCTTCTCACCTCCCACACTTCTGGTCTATACCCCAGCTCTTGTATACATGAATAAATAGAATGTTTTTAAAATAATAATAATCAAGGAACTGTCTATAACATAGACTTGACAATAATTTGAAACTTTTTTATATTAAATTGATTTAAAATTGGGCAAATTTAACTGAAGAAATAGAGAAAATTTAAATTAAATTATTTTCATTTCTTGAGACACATGATTTCACTCCCTTCCTCCCAATGAAAAAAGTTCCTTACCCGTGAATTAAATTTATAAACATTTTAATGAAGTATTACTAGCAGATAATACATTCTCTTGGTTAAATGTCAACTGGAAATATAGTTTGTTTCTTCACATCCTCATGTCTTTCAGTGGAGGGTGGCTTATAGAAAACAAAATGTTCAGCATACTCACTGGGGCAGGTATGCCATTGTTTCCTGGCCCTCTCAGTGAACAAAGCTAAGGAATATCTGAGCATATATGCACACCCCTTTGTCAGAAACCAGGGCACATTAGTACACTACCCTTCATCACTCATTGACATAATTCCTCTGGATGCCTGCATATCCAATTCAGGAGAGGCAAGGAAAGAGACATAATATGAGAATGGAAGAGAATCAATTATAATTTTCAATTATTTTCCTTCATAGTTGATCCCTATGCCCTACCTTATAATATGTCCTTTTTATATAATTCCCATATTAAAGAGTGAGGAATTAGTAATATTTGCTTTTGTAGAACTGACTTCAAAATTAAACTCAAGAATGCCCTAGAAAAACTGACACTAATTGTTAAACTTGAAAATTTCCATCAACCTGCTCCCAAAAATCAACATATAATGAATGATATTAAACACTATTGATGCAGTAAAAGACTAAAAAAAATACCTTGAACACTTATTCACAAAGACAACATGTACAGAGGGGGAAAAAGCATAAACAAGATACAATCAAACTATTACAGTATACAAAAGGCACATATACTGTGCACTTTTATAACAGTCTACATCATCCTATGAAGATTTATAGGATCCACAGAAGGACTTAACAATAAAAAGCTGAGGAAAAAATATGCCTAGTCAATAGATAAGGCCAGCTGCAAATTTAACAGGAATCATTGCTTCCCCCAAGGAAGCAATGCAGTTGAAAAGTATCCTAACAGCTTCCTTACTTGAGTGACTACCTTATTCTTACTCACTAAAAAGTCTCATCTAAAACCATAGACATAAAAACTTTTCTATTTAAACATATATTAATAAAAATGAACCATCCTACTCTCACCTAGAAAATCTAAGTTTCTAAGATGACAGGTTCCTGGGTCCACTTTCATAGTCCAAACAGGTTTTTACCCCATTACGTACAGCTCTGTTTTGTTTTGAGTTCATAAAAATCATACTTCATTTAAATTTCACCTGGATCCCACCCTTCCTCCAAATCCTCTGATATAATTTTATATTTCTCTTTGATGAGTTGCCCTCAGAGTTCATGTGGTGTAGATTTCCTCACTAAAATAAGTCAGTAAGTCTGACTTGGTCAGAATATTTATTTGTCCCTTGGTTGACTAGGCTCAACAAAATCAAAGTGCAATGGAAGCTCAAATAAACCCTGCCTTCTTGTGGCTGATGATCATGGGGTTCACATAATGATGTGTAACAATGAATGCCAGAGGGCAAGAAGAAGGCAATTAGTGGTTAAAGAAACACTGTTTTAATTTTCACAGTGAAGATTCATGAGACACGGAAATAGAAATTTGATTTTCTTTGTCAATTAACTAACGGTTACAGACATAACTTTTTTTGTCATCTATTTAAAGTCAGTGGAATTCAAGTCCCAGAAAAAAATTCACTGGAATATAATTATTAAATCAAAATAGTAGATGTTACCTTAAACTCAGACAGCCACTCCTCCACAACCCCTTTCTCTGAAGTGAACATCTTTCCACATCTGTTCTAAACCTTCAACCTGAAAATTAACATAGAAAAATATTAAAAATTTCCTTATGGTGAAATGACTATGAATAGAGTTAGTCTTACAAAAATTTAGTCACTTCTTATTTGTGAAAATGAAGCAATTTTTCACAAATTACTGGGTTCATATCAAAACCAAGTACACAAACAAGTGCTATAATGAAAGAATTTCAACAAAAGTATAAATATAGCACGGTGAAATTAGCTCTGCAATTTTCATTCAGCTTTCAGAAATGTCAACTGTAGAAATACTGGACATTTTTCTGTAGTTTCAATTAAATAATTCCAAGAAATCATGCATCTTAAGGAACTTGCAGAAAATGTTTTAAAACTGTGAACATATAAAAAGCATCCACAAATGACTTTACAGAAAACATTAAAGTAATTTAATTATTTTATATTTCAGTTCTTTACAACAGTAACTAGATAAGTCACTTGGTCCCATGAAAGCTTAATATTCCTAAAATAAAAATAAAAATAAAAATGACAATATACAAAGTAATGACTATATTCAACAAGTTATTTTGATTGAGTTTTACTTATAGTACAAATTAAGTGTAAAAAAGCAAATCACGGGAAATGTAAGTGGTTTAATCTCAAACAAAATTTTATTCAAGAACAATGTAGTTTCTTTACCTATCCATCTATATAAGAACATGCTTGAGGGAATATCTTAGCACTATCAAAATTTCTGAATCTCTTAATTCAAGCAAAAATCCTGAGTTAGGTATCTTAATATTCATCAGCATTATCACAGAGAAGAATCATTAGAAGCTGAATCTTGATCCTATTACTTATAGCAGACAGAACCTTAAGCAAGTTAATTTTCATCTATGAACAAATGTCCCATAGTACCTAATATCAAGGGGTTTTTATGAGGATTAAATTTAAAATGCAAACAAAGGACTTATTCCAGTACCTAGTGATAAAGTATTATTATGCAATTTTTTTAGTGAAGAACATCAAGTTACATGGTCTCTGTTTGGCTGTCTATCAAAGTATACATATATATTTTAATGAACAATAAAAATTTCTTGCCAAAAGATTAGATTTTATAGATTCTAATTCCTATAAAAACATTAATAGTAAAAAATGAATGTGTTCATTTATTCATTAAAAATAATTACTTAAAATATATACATTTTTAAAATAAAAAACAACCCACCTACTTTACAGATTTTTCTATTCCAAATTTTATCCTTGGATCAAGTCAATTAGAAAACCACATGTAATTCATTCAGATAAACTAGGTTTTGGAGGTATGTGAAAATATTGTTAGGTTACATTATTGCCTTTAAAATCCAATAGAGGAAAAAACTTTACACCTCTGGTTTTTAGTACCAGGAACAATCCTTTAGAGAAACTGGTTAGCTTTAATATTATTGACACTGATTCTCTTCAATTTGATTCTAATAACCTGGAAATTATTGTTTCTGTCTTACTTCTGTCCACAAAAATGTAGACCTTGATTAAACTTACCTATTATTTCATATTATAGTCTTACCCCTACTTTCTTTCTGCTTGGATTTACTTATTTTTATCTTGCTATACAAATAAAAGAAGCAAAGTAAAAATTAATGTACACCAGTTTTCTTTTGTACTTATCCATTTGTTTAGTAAATTAGGACAGAAAGTTATCACAAACAGAACCATGGTATTTCAAATTACAGAGAACTAGAGAAGTAAAACAATAAAAATAAAAATCTAGTTAAGATTAGTGGCCCTCTCTGGAAGTGCAACAGGTTAAAGTGCAGTACTGCAAGCAAACTCTAGCTGCTCCAGTGCCAGTTCAATCCCCAGCCCCAGAGGTGATCCACATGGCACAGCATACATCTCCTGACCAGCCCACTGGCAGTGTACTTTGTCAATCTGCCTGTTCCACTCCCCACTCTGTCTCTGGTGAATCCTCTCTGGCACCCCAGGTCTGTATGCATGAATAAATAAATCTTTTTTTAAAAATTGAGATTAGAAATCAAGAGAAATATGAAAAGGATCAAGAATAGGCAAGGTAATCTTAAAGAACAATAGAGCTGAAAGATTTGAACTTCTAAATAGCAAGGCTTATTATAAAACATACCAAAAACCATAGCAATTAAATCAGGCTGACATTATCATAAGGAAACCGCAAAACCAATGCAACAAAAGAAAGCAGCCAGAAACAAACCAACACATACATGGTCACCTGATGCACAGAAACAATGGCACTGCAATTCATAGGGGAAAGTGATCTTTATAATGAATGGGGCTAGGTCAACTGCACACTATACAGAGTGGGCTGGGATGAGTGGAACAGCAAGCACTGAGAATGTCTCCCTACCCTGAAACTTTCGGAGCCCTACACTCACCAGGACTACTGTCATAATGTTTATGTCAAGAATCAAAGAAGCTACAGCTCCAACTTACACCCTTGTTGGTCTCAGGAACCAAAGAAGCTATCGCTCCCAGATTAACTCTAATCTTCATAATTTGTAATACCACCTCTATTTCCCCCCATCTCCCATCCTATCCTAATTCTAGAAGAAAACTACTTCCACTGTGCTCTGTAGCACAGTTTGTTACCAATCAAAATCCTCTGTATCTTCAATAGTTCTCTGAATGTCGTTTCTTTCTTGTTCTAACAAGAACCTGGCTAGACTCTGAAAATGACTTTCTTTCCCTGCCACTTAAGGAGTGACTGCTTTTCCTGTGAGAAATCACTGGACCTAGACATAGAAGTCCTACCCACTCCTTGTTACCATTCCAAGTCACTTTTCATCTCTTCCCTAAAACAAACTATCAGTATGTCTTTGAAATGCATGCCACTGCCATCTATTAATCTTTCTTAACCCTACCCTTCATTTCTAGATGATCCTCTTTGGGCTCACCATAACTCTCACAAGCCACTCCCACTTACATTCTTATTTATTTTTTTTCTTTTCTTCAAAGAAGTCTTCCCTGACTCAGCTTCTCAATTCTATGATTATTATCTAGATCAGATACAATGGTCAGGGTCATTGTACACTTTAAAATATTGACTCAGGGGCCCTCCCTGATCGGGCAGCCTGTTAAAGCACAGCACTAAGAAGCTAAAGCCACTTCAGCAGGAGTTTGATCCCTCACTCCAGAGGTGACCACATGGCGCCGCATACCTCTCCTCACCGGACTCAGGGGCCCTTCCTAGTGGCGCAGCGGGTTAAAGCACTGCACTACAAAGCTTAAGCCACTTCAGCATGAGTTCAATTCCGGCCTGCCCCGGAGGAGTCCACATGGCGAGGCAGACCTCTCCTGACCCGCCCACTGCTTCCCTCAGCAGTGTACTTCGTGGATCTGCCTGTTCTGCTCCCCACTCTGTCCCTGGTGAATCCTCTCACCCTCCGCATCTCTGGCCTGTACCCCAGTTCTGTATGAATAAATAAATAAATCTTAAAAAAAAATGAGTCAACCTTAAAGAATACCTAGTGGTCAAAGCTGAAACAATTTATATATCAAAACAAGTGATGCAGTACTGAAGTAGAACACAATCTATAAATAAATATAAATGAGTCAATACTGATATAAATAAATTAATTAAATTTTAGAGACAAGTCTTTCATTTATAACTCCAAATAACAGATATTTTCCCCTCTAGGAGAAAGAGCTTAGTCCCCACCTTTTCAGTGAGAGTAGGCTGGGCATACTGATTCACTTTCAAAGGGAGTATGGAAAGGGAAAAATACAATAACTCAGTAACATGGAAATCTGGCAAATGCTTCCTTCTTGATCACACAACCCTGAAATGATGTGATAAGGGCACTTTGCCTCTGTTGTGCTTTCCAAAATCCTAAATCCCAGTTATAATCATGAGAAAAATATTAGAAAAACTCAGTTTCTACAAGTCTCCAACCTATATTCCTCAAAGCTAACAAGGTCATGAAAAACAAGAAAGACTCTTAAAGATCAGAGGAGATTAAAGTGACATGATAACTGCATGGTATCCTGGATTGGATTCTGGAACAGAAAAGGGAGAGTAATGAGAAAAACTGGTTTGATCTTAATAAATCTAGAATTTAGTTGACAGCAATATAATAGGAAAGACAAATATACAAGGGTAATAAAACATGACATTAGGCTAAACTGAAACTAGCTGTGAGGTATATGAGAATTCTTTATATATTATCTTTGCAACTTTTCTATAAGTCCAAAATCGTTCAAAAAATTATTTTAAGCAACTACTGAGGCTGTGCAAGAACTTTTCATTTATCTAAGTCAATATTGACTGACATTTACTATATTCAAAAACAAAAAAGCAAGTTTTACAATACAATTACACATAAGCAAATGTCTTATTAGTTATCACCCATCATATCGTCTTTGGAAAGTATATACTCATGAGAAAATAAGTAAAGGGGCAAATAAAAGTCCTAGTATTCATTTTTAAATAGTATTATATATCTCACTGAGGTAATACTGGTTTACAACACTGTATATGTTTTAGGGGCACAGAATCACATCTCCTAAAATGTATGTTACCTTACCACATTCACCACCAAACACCAATAACCCTCCACTGGGCCTCCATCCCCCCCTTTGCTCTCTACCTTCCTTCTCCTCTTCTGTTAACATCAGATTTGTGGGTATGTTTGGTTTAGTTTCGTCAGTTCCTTTGTTTTGTTTCTTTACCTTCCTCATATGAGTGAAACTACCAGTATTTGTTTTTCTCCTGATTTTCTGTTTAGCAAAGTCCCCATCCATGCCCCTCTTTCAATTTGAAAGTCCTAATATTTAGAAAATAGTTTTGAGCTTACAGACTACATGAAAGAATCTTGAGGACTCTGAAGCAGTGACGGTTTCAAGAACCAATGCCCTAACCTTCATCATTACTCATTCTGACCTCTCTACTGTCTCTTCAGCATTCTATTTTCTCTACTTAAACTCCAAAACGTTTTGACCATACCAAGACCAACCCACTTCAAATTCTCTCCTTACCTATTTCTTGGTTTTACCACATAGAGCAACAAAAAAAAATTTCTTTACATT